TGTATAGCATATAAGACATAACAGATGTCATATTCTACATTGTATGTCATCTATTATATATTATATATTATATTTAGAGAACGTAAAAGATGCAAAAAGTGCACTCTCACAGTGTCCCGTTTTGTATATTTAAATATCATATATTATACGTACATTATAGCTGCTAGATGTTCCTCAAGAGGATCTTGTGTTGAGCAGGCTGTGCGTCGCCTGGTGCATTCGCGGTCGCAGGGCACAGGCCTTCTTCTAAACGACCGGACGCCCAGCATAAACCAGCTTTCCAGCAAGGGTTGCCGGGGTTCTACTCATCTGTACTGTCAGTTTTGCAGGACTGTAGGTGTAGCCTCCAGCTACTTTCGCGGCATGGAAGCGATTGATTCGCTTCTGCGAGCAGTTCACTTGCTGAACTGCTAAGCGCTTTTGAGCAAGCAAATTTCCATGGTGTTGCCGTGTTTCGTAAGCAGGGCCGCCCGTCTTGACAGTTCGCTTGGGCATACGCTTTAACCAGGAACCTTGCATATCCTTGCACGTACCTGAGGCAGGGCAGCATGTGATGAACAGCAAGTCCACATCGCGGTCACAAGGGAGCCACCTGACTGCACACTTGTCGATGCGGAATGGAGGGCGAGGGTGGTGTCAGGAGCGAAATGGTCTGCTCACCCGACATGATGTACCATGGTGTACGCTGTAGACCAACTTCCCACAGAAGTGGACAGCCAGCAGCCTTCTTTTTTTCTTTTGTGGCGCCGATGTCAGGGCTCTGGAATTGTCAGCTCAGGTCGCTAGTTTGCAGAGGCCAGGAGGGCGAGAGAGAGCAAAGCGTGCTTCAGCTCTTGACTTTTGCGCGTATGCCTTTGCCAACTGGTCGCGCCACAGGCAGCGTATGGCAGCCGTGGTGTTCACACTGCGTCCCAAAGCAGGACTTACTTGCGAGTTGCGTAATTACCAGTGATTATGGCTGTTATGGTTATGAAGTTTGATTGAGCACTGCTGGCTTGAGCAAGCGCGAAAGCTGCTGCGCCAGATAGATAGCAACGAGCAGACCAAGCCAGTTTCACCACTTGTAGGTTCAGTTGAGGCCATGCTGTGTTTGAAATGTGTGTCTGAGATGCACAGATACACTTTCTTAGTGTTCTCGGTGGATTACAGAAGAGCAGCACCAGCCTCTACTCGCAGCACGAGTGGTTCGGATCAAGTGGGATCAGGCCTTTCCAAGCGCCAATCCTTGGATCCGAACTTCTGGCCGACTTCTGACATGGAGTCGATTTTATTTTAGGTGCTGACTACCAGTGGCTGCCAAGTTTACTCGTCCAATGTAAGGAGGAGTTCTGATTCAGGGTCAGACAGCCTAATGCCATGGTGGGCACCTCAGCTGCGCATAGCGCACACTGTTGACACCCGCATGCCAGAAACACAGGGACCTAGTAGGACGGGACCTAGCCCATATGCCTTCGCTGTGACACAGGCTGCAATGTGCAACGAAGCTGCTGTAGAAGACACGCTCGGAGAGATAAAGCTTGCTGCCCAACCTCTTGCAAAGACGCTCCGCAATCCCTGCGAGGCGCATGGCGCCGCCAGCGGTCCGGCGGACCGGAGACAGGTGAAGCACAAAGTTGTGCTGGGCAATTTTTAATGTGCAATCGGAAGGCTCCGTGCAGTGCTGTACAGTGTTTTCCCGGGACTTGCACTCGCTGGACATCGCTGGCTCAAGCGGAGGGTCCGAGCAGACACCTTGCTCTCCTTCTGCCAGAAGCAGGGATCTGCTTCCTGTAGTCATTGTAGTCCAGGACCTCTTGCAAGACTTAGCCACAGTCACAGCAGACGCCACCTTCGCGTACTTACTTGCAGCCAACACCGTGTGCCAACATGGTCCAACTAGCACCTCCTTAAAACCCTAAAGCTTTGACCACGACCCCAAACATCTACAACATCCAGAAACGCCTCAAAAACCTCGGAGACATGGCAGCGCCGGCGATGGGATCGTGACCTTGGCATGCTTGGAGCATGTCTTTGTACTAGCCACGCACCTTAAGCTGCAAAGGCCCAAAGGAGACAGAGAAGATCTTTGAAAAAAGTCAGAGTCGCCAGGTTCAAAAAGGCTGCGCCGGCTCCAGATCTACTTGTCCTCGGCTTAGCCCAGGGTTTCCGCATCTTGTCAAGGCTATGCTATACTATACCGTATACCATACCATACTACTATCATAGCACTTGGATCACGCCCGATTTTCCCAAACTTTCCAGTTTCGCAGCCGGACACAGGCAGCCGAACCGCAGAAGGTGAAGAGCTTCGCGAGCACCGTCCAACCTGGTCCGGGGCACCCGGATGTTGTGCTTAATTAGAGTCTCTAGGCCTAGAGAGTACTGCGGATAAGGTGTGCACTGAGACGGCGACATGCCTTACGATCTGATCTTGCGGTGAAGTCTTTTGGATAGAAGGCTCGAGCTGCCAGGACTGGAGCATCGCCCCTTCTCAGATGAAGAGATCAAGGAGGTCCGGGACCAAGAAAGTTGCAGATTTCTGCTTGCATCAGGCGTGTACTCTGCATGTTCCCATGGTCCGGCAGACGAGAACACCAGTTTTGAACACCTTTGTGTGGGGTTGTTTATGTGCTCTGAAATTCAAGTGCCCATCTCTGTGAGAGAAGCTCTATGGCTCACCTTCCAACGATGTGGTGCAAGGGACACCGTCTTCTCAAATTGCAGCCTGCCGGCCTGAAGATCTGAAGATGCCAGGCGTTTGCAACCTTTGACCTCGACAACAATCGGTTCGTGGGGGCTGCAGAGTCCGAACGCCCAGTTGTTGTGTGGCCCGTTTCGGACGATGATCAAGTTCCGACAGAACAAAACTGGGAAGACAAGGATCTCGCACATCCTCAAGCTGATCGGCGAGGAGGTGTCTCACCAGGACCTTTGAGCGTGCGAGCGACGGCAGAACTACTTGGAGCTTGGTTCCGCTGCTGCAAGTCTCGGCGAGATGTTAGAATCTCCCTCCCCACCACGGACTCAACAGATTTCGGTTATTACGTCTTATTACTGATTTTATTGTGATGATTATCATCATGTTATTATTTTCATTATTATTTTGTGCGATCGGTTGGCCAAGAGCTTGTGCAAAGTCGGCCCATGGTGAGCCCAGTTCCGGCCCACGGCAGCTATGCCTACCACGATATACAACTATCTATACCACACACTTGCTGCGACGCCGACGCACGGCAGATGCAGTGCGGATTGCAGTGTCCTCGTCGGGTCGGAGTGATATTCGCGCTGTCGCACAAGCGTGGATCTGGTCCCAGCCCTGCCCTGTACGAAGCGACCGACACTCGTGCGCGCCTTCAACAACAAAGAAGTGCCCACCCCAATAATGACGGCATCGAGGGGAAACCTAATGCCCAAGTCCAAAAGATCAAGACCCTCAACTAAAAGCCGTTCAAGACCCAGGCTGTGCAGAGCGGGGTGTAAATATGTAACTATCTATCTAGTTGTATATATATATATATATGTATGGGACGAAAGCGAAGCAAGTGCAGCAATAGTTTCGGTGGGTGACAGAGGCTTGATAAGATTCGCTCGCAGTGTAAAGGAGCCATGTTTGAAAGGGAAAGTAAATAATGAATCAATATTCAAGGTATTCACATCCGAGCTTGCATCGGTGAAGGACGGTACGTTAAAGCAGGTGACTTGCGTGGAAGCGCGTGAATGTGCAGTTTTGCAAGCAGCCCGGCCACTGCGGAAAGTGAAGGAGGCCATACTTCCCAGAGCATGTACGAAGAAGCAAATCGCTGGGGAGCATGGCCCTGATATTTCAATAAGATGCAGGGAGGAATGCAATGCACCTCGAAAGGGACGAGGGGCCAAATTTAGCAGGACGCACTTCTGTACTTCCTTTTCCAGCTTGCGTTGACTTTGTGCTTGCAAGCAGCAAACTTGATCACTTGAGAGGCGAGTCGGCTGGTGTCAGTCGTAGCCATCGTAGCCATCGTTGTCCTTGAAGTTGCGCGAGGAGATCGATGAAATGATTCGGATGTGCGACACCGATGGAGATGGGCAGGTAGAAAGCTCAGTTGCACACTGCCTCTGAACTTTGTGATATTCAGGCAACCGCCTGCTGCTAGATGTGATCGGAGGTCACATTTGACGAGTTCTACAAGATGATGACAACTCCAGCGCCACCCCTGTGACATCCTCGGCCGGAAGCGCTTTTTGTAACTGGGTCACTGCTTGGCTGCGGTTCCACAGTGCTGCGACAGATATGCTCATGTCGAAATTGCGGCCGTCATGTTTGATACCTTGACTTACGGAAAGGCCTCCGGAGGTGAGATCGACGAAAAAGAAGCCCTACTCCACCAAGCTCGGTGGGGCGAAGAGGCTTGCGATATGTTCTTAAACGGGACTAAGCCTTAAGCCAGCCATGGATCCTTATTGTCTAGGGCATTGCGCAGAGCTGTTTTGTGCAAATCGGCTGACAGATATGCGAAGTCGCTTACGGAGTCAGGCCAGGTCCTCAGTTAGGCATCTCGTAACCCCGAAGGCCACAAGTGGAAGTTTCCGAAAATTAGGGGTACCTTATTTTGGGGTCCTTATATTAAGGATCCTATTATTTAGGGTGCCATATTAGGGTCCCCTATTTTCAGAAACCCCCAAGTGGGAAGCATGGGGGTGGATTCAATTCCTCGCGTTGCTTGCGCAGCCAAGGCCCGACCTCTTTAGAGAAGCTGCGGCCTTACATTGGTATTTGTGGTAGATCAGAGAAGTACTGTTAGAGTAGTTCTTCTTTGTGTCGGCATGACCGGGCCTGGCAAAGTGAAGGTCCCTGTGCCGTTTAGACCTGCTCCCGGCAGCTCTGACTGAGGGCCACGGCGGAGCTCTCAAAGAACAAGGGCGATTGGCGTGCACAGCAGCACGCTGCCGCAGAAGTCTCAGAGATGGGAAATATCCTGCTAGTTGCTCATCAACTGCGGACCACTGTCGCTCTTTAGGCGGAAATGAAGCAACAACGAGCCATGAGCGCCCGTCTCTCGGGACAAGCTGAGCCTGGCGATCTGCCGTGTCAGGGAGCGTGTAATAGTATGATTATTATGGTTACTACCATTATTACTACAATTACTAGTAGTATGATGATTATTATTATGGCGAGTCTCTGTTTCCATCCTGACTTCCACGAGGTCGAGCAGCTCATTCACAAGCTTTCTGGTGGAATGGGCAAGATCAAGCCTTCGCAGACGCCCAGCTGCAAAGATTCCCCAACAAGAGCCTCTAGCCGCAATTTGCCCTAGATGGAATCGTTGTGGCTCGCAGCTCAGGATCAAAAAGATCTACAAGCGCTTCGGGGACGGGCTCGTTTCCGTGTTTGTTTTGTCATAACGCAGCAACACATGGTTTGCAGTTTTTGTCTTGAGTTCTACCGAAGTGTGTGATGTGATTTGACCTGATGTGATGTGGTGTGACAATGACGGTGACGTTGATGGGATGGGATGGGACGGGGCGGGATGTGTGTGTGTGTGTGTGTGAGAGTGTGTCGACCATCCTCGTCAATGGATGCAGGAGTCACACTGTTCAATACTCCATGTGCAGGGGACACGCCAAGACCCCTTCACTCACCCGTGTAAATGTGCCTGTCTGCCAACCAACGAATCGATGAACTTCGTTGTGAACAGCTTATCAACAGTTGTGGAGCCAACTATCATGCTGATCGGGTTGTGCGTGTGCTTTCGTGTGTGTGTGTGTGTTTTCTGCTTTCAGCTTCTTGTTTTGGACCGAGCGCCAGTAGATTGAGCTTGGAGCTGCAACCGTGTTCTCCTCGGGCAAGTGCACACCAACAGTACATCCAGATGTGTTATAGTCAAACTAAACGGAGCAGCGAATGTTTTTCAGGATATCGATGTCGACAAAAGCGGAGCCATCGATTACGAGGAGTTCATCCAGGTGGGGATGTCTTCTGGTTCTGAATACTAGTAGTAGTTCAGCGAGGGAGAACCTGGGTGTCTTACACTCCCTGATTAAGATTGCGTATACCTTGACTGCCTTGTACGAACGAACCCTGAAGGCCATGGACATGGAGGACACCAACATTGCGAGGCCGGCCGCCTTTCAAATACTTGCAAAGTGGGCTCTCTCAGGGAAGACAAAGACGACCCGGCGGCGACGACGACTGCTAATACCACCATCGACTATCCTTCCCACTGTGACCGCCTCCTGCTCTTGGGCAGCTAGTCCAATTGCGCACAAAAATGCTCTGCGCCCGTGCTTGCTGATGCATGTGACTGGCTTGGCCAGGAAGATCTCGAAAGCGGTGCGAGAAATACTTACGAGTTAGGTACATATCCATTCGTCTTGATACACACAGACTCGGGGCTTTGGCGAAGTGCAGCCTTGCGGGGATCACACTGTTCTTCTCACATGACATGCAAATTCGTTGCTAGCTCACCCAATTTGAAACCTGCATTGCCTGCCATGGCAATATCTGTTAATGTTGCGGTGTCCGGCAGAAGGAGCTTTGCTTTCGGACTATGCTGCCGGGGGTGATGCCCGCGAAGAATGAGCGTCAGCGCATGGAAGACGCAGTGGCCATCTCCGACAATGTCGGATGATGTCGTTGCTATGCTGTCTTTGACGGCCATGGTGGAGACAGAGCAGCACATCTGGCAACAGTACACCTCCCGAAGCAGCTTGACCTCCATTTACAAGCTTTGAACGATGCGTTCCTGGCCGTAGATCAGCTTATGAAGACGGAACTCACGGATGAGGCTAGGGGCTGCCATCCGGAACATCTTCGGCAATGATTGCTCTCGCGCAGGGCAAGAAGCTGTTGATTGTGAACCTAGGAGCATAATCTCCGAAGGCGCCAAGGTCTCAACCAAGACCGTGGATCATTCCCCTGGAATGATCCACCGTCTTGGTTGAGACCTGAGATAAAGCCGAAGAGAAGCATCGCCTGCAGAAGCTCGGGGTGAACATCGATGGAGGCTATGTCGATGGTAAGGTCCAGGTATCCCGAGCATTTGGGGACATTGAAAGCAAGACTGGTGACAAGATCAACGGCCTGATCTGCAAGCCGGAGGTCACAGTTGTTGCAGTAGAAGAAAGCACGAAGTTCGTGGTTCTCGCCACGGATGGCATTTGGGATGCTTTGCAAGAACAGACAGTTGACGACGGCATCGACGGCTCGGAAGGTGCTGCGGAAAGTCGGTCTTCAGAAGCTGCCGCGCAGGCAGTGTTGGAATCTGCAGGAAGGGTTTCGAAAGCAGGCAATGCGGCTGTCATCGTTCTGGCGATCAATAATTTATTAATCGCCAGAACAATGACAGCTTTCATTATTCCTGAGCCGCTTCCAAAGCGCGAGCCCGGAGTTTCGTTTGAAGCTCGGCTCCAAGGCGGAGTGAGGCTTATGCTTTGTACATGCATGGTAGCCATGTCTCGCAGCCTGCGAGCCATGGCTACCATGCATGTACAGCAGACAAATGCCTGCGAGTCGCAGGCCTTTGTCTGCTGTTCCACGAGGCATCGGCAAATCAGCATTTGAAGACATGTATGTGGGATGCGCTGCAAGAGCAGACTGCTCTTAGAACTGCGAGAAAAGTTCCACGACAAACCCGATCTCCAAAGGCGGCCGCGCAGGCTGTGTTGGAGGCTGCCGGAAAAGCAGACAATGCCGCCGTGATTGTCGTGGCGATCAACATTCCTGAGCCGCTTCCAAACGGGAGCCAGCGCAGTGGCGCTTGAAGCTTGGCTCCAAGACGGAGTGAAGCGTTTGCGTAGCCGCGTCTCGCACTGTTGTTCCACGAGGCGACGGCAAGGCAACATTTGAAGACGGTTGACAAGAAAAACTTTCGCCCGCCTGACACAGGGATCTGTCGTATAATGGAGGCGACGGTGTCTCAGGGATCGCCTTGAATTCCGGACGGCAAGTTGGAAGAGTGCCCTTTTGCTCTAGGTTGTCGTGAGGTCTAGAAGACACAGCATTGTGTAGCTCCCGGTCCGTGTGCAGGCAAATGTTCAGAGTCTTCGATATGGACTCCTGGATGCAAGTCAATGAGCCGGCTTGGCACCATGTGGCAGTTGCTGGAATCTGTCTGGGGCCCTTTATTGTCGTCTTTATCGTCAATATCTTCACCATCAGTAGTCATTTTGACAGTTGTATGCCACTGTTGCTATCATCGAGCTTTGTTTCCAAAACTTTATCAGCGTCATCATTGTCAGCATCAGCATCCTCGCGACTGTCGGCATCGGTCTTTCTCAGCGCCGTGACAATTTTCAATGTCATCATACCTAAGCCCGCCTGTATCTATTTTTCTCAGCATCAGTGTCATCGTCATCATCAACCTCATCATCATCATCGTCATCATCATCATCATCATCATCATCATCACTCTCATCATCATCATCATCACCATCATGATCTTCAGCATGCGTTTGCACCATCGTCATCAACAACATCGTCTTCATCATCCAGCCTCATAGTCATCATAATTTTATTCTTCATCGTCTGTTTTCACGACCAGCATCATCAACAACTTCTTTAACATCCATCACAATCACCAGCACCAGCGCCAGCACCAGTACTAGCGCCGCCACCACCACCACCACCACAACCACCACCACCACAACCACCACCACCACCACCACCCACCACCCACCACCACCACCACC